GGTCCCGTTGTTTTCTCCTCCAGATTGTTCATCCAGCCTATCTTATTTAGACAGACCTGCGGATATAATAACATGCACAAAAACAAGACAGCAAAACTAAATGACAGTATACAACAAAACCACAACAACAAACCAATGACAAAAAACAAAACACAACAAGAAAGAAAAGCTTGTAGTTAGTTCAAGGATTGTTTGTTGGCCTTTAGGAGTGTTTTCCAGTCAAGTCTCTTTGGGCACCATGCCCTGGCCCCAAAGTCCACCTTCAGCATTCCCTGGGGACCTCGCTGCTTCATTCCCTTGCTGTTCTGTTGCACCCCCTTAGTGTTTTGCCTGACTGTGGTGGGATCAGATCGGGTGCAATTCCCACATTGTGTCTCTGGTGTTGTCCCCTGTGGGGCTATGGGTCAGTGAGGGGCGTTATGTCTCATTGTGGGGCCGGCCATGTGGTCCTCTCTGTGGACTAGCAGCTCTAATTGGGAACATCGTCCCCAAAGCCTGGTGGGCCATCCTTTTAGTTTGTTTGTGTTTGTTTACAACTTTTGCATTCCAATTGCCAATTATTATCAGTGCATCTTGATTGTATGTTGGATCAATTTCTGACTGAAGACATTGGTTTAATTCTTCAATTTCTTCATCAGTAGCTTTGATTTTTTGGTGCGTAAATTTTTGAATAATAGTTGTACAGTATTGACTGGATTTCCTTGAATGTGGACCGATGTAAGCATCACAGACAACCTTGCCCTTCAAGAAAGATGATGAAATGGCCCTTTTGATGATGTATTCAATGCCATTCCTCCTGATAGTGTCATTTTCGACATAGTAAACCATATGATTTTCTGATTCAAAATGACCGGTGCTAGTCCATTTCAACTCACCTATGCTCAGGATTGATCTTTATATATTTCATTTTATTTTTGATGATTCGCAGTTTTCATTGACTGTTGTCTCATATGTTCCAAGTTTTGATTATTAGTAAAATTTTGCAGCTATTTCTTCTCACCTTGAGTTATGCCCCATCAGCAGATGAATGCTGTGAAGACTTTCCTCTCACAGGCTGTACTTCACTCATGTCATTATGGGCAGCTCTTACATTTTGAGTGCCTTCTGGCACTGTCTCTGACAATGTCCTATTGCGTTTCTTAGGTCTTCGAAATCTGACTAGGGAAAATGTAAAAATGATAGAATTGCAGATTAAAGTTACACTTGAATCTGACTATGGAAAGTCTAAAAATGATAGAACTGCAAATTAAAGTTACACTTGAAAATAATTCTGCGTATTAGCAAAATTATGATAATCAAGGGGTGGATAGGGTATAATGAAATAAGCATTCAGAATGTTGAAGAGTAAATGTAGAGGTACCACCTCTTTTTGTATTATAGTTTAGCAGTAGTAAAATTTAAATGTTCTTAATATTTGGCTCATGTTTCATTTCTAGACACATATTAAATAAGTATTTGTATACTGAGATGTCTTGAGATATGTTGTTTTCAGAGTTAAAAATTTAGATATGACCTCTATTCATTAGTAAATGATGCTACATATTCATGTAAAATAAGTGATAATATACATCCATATGAAGAAATA